AAGGCAGGCAGGAAGGCAGGAAGGCAGGAAGGCGGAGGCAGGAAGGCAGGAAGGCAGGCAGGCAGGCAGGGCGGAGGAAGGAGACAGAAGGAAGGCAGGAAGGCGGGAAGGAAGCGGAAGGAGGGAAGGCGGGAAGGAGGGAAGGAGGAGGGAGGGAGGGAGGGAAGGAGGGAGGGAGGGAGGGAGGGAGGAGGAGGGAGGGAGGGAGAGAGAAAAGAGGGAAAAGAAAAGAAAAAAAAAAGAAAAGAAAAAGAAAAGAAAAAGAAAAGAAAAGAAAAGAAAAGAAAAGAAAAGAAAAGAAAAGAAAAGAAAAGAAAAAAGAAAAGAACAGGAAGGTTAAGGAAGAGTGGCTTTAGAGATGCTCACAATGAAGTCGTCACAGAGGACCCACATACCGGGAGACATTTGTCTTCCATGAAGGCTTCTTTGTTTTCAGGAAGGCATTCTAAAGCATCAAAGTACAACCACTGCATGATAGGCATAAACTTGCCAGAGCAGGCCTGGGGAGAAAAGGTTGTCAGTAGTTGAGGCTTGACAAGTGACAAGTAGAGGACACTTCTGGCCATGCCCTTAACCATCCATGCTGACCTTCATGACCTCCTGGGCGGCCAGGCCCCCAATGAAGGCATTTATAGGTGCCAGATTCCCAGCAGCTACATATGCCAACTTGCGAATGAGGTCTTCATCCAGGATGCCCTGCTGTCCTGGGGGCAAGGCTTCAGAATTCACAGTCTGTGCTAAGATCACCAGTTCTGCTGCATCTTCCTGACGAGTCAAAAAAGAACATTTCAGACCACCATAGGAGGATAAGGAGGAAGGAAATTGTAGGCAAATGGAAAAATGACCGCTTTGGTCCAATCCACTGGTTATCTCCCCATCTCATTTACCTCATTATGTGGTCGAGGAGATCGATTGTATTGAGAACAAAACCGATGCAGGGCCTGGAAGCCAATGTGCAGCTGAGCAGGGTGAGAATACTTGGCAAAGTCCATTATCACAAAATCTGGCTCTGCCAATGACGCTACTAAGGATTTCTGTGGAAAGTGGGACATCAGGATCAGAGGCCGGAAAAAACTAGAAAACGCCCAGAAACCTACCATCAACTCATACTCACAAAACTAATCTTCTTAGGTACTTTGACCTGACTGACAATGCCTCCACGAATATACTCAGAGAAGCTGGAGGTATCACATATGCTGCAGGTGTAAGGCCCTAAGGGAAACAAAAAAGGTGGAGGGGAATATGTTAAGTCATGTAACAACTCTCCCATCTTGCCATCTAGCACATTAAATTTATTTATTTTTTTTTAAACTTTTATTTAATGAATGTAAATTTCCAAAGTACGACTGATGGATACAATGGCTTCCCCCCCATACCGTCCCTCCCACCCACAACCCTCCCTTTCCCACTCCCTTCCCTTCCATTCACATTCAAGATTCATTTTTGATATCTTAATATACAGAAGATCAGCTAGTATACATTAAGTAAGGATTTCAACGGTTTGCTCCCACACACAAACATAGAGTGAAAATAATAGATGATTTTTTTAAATGATGATGAAATCAGATCAGACCTATTGTCATGTTTAATCCCAGTGAGAGTCAAGCTGGGAATTGATAATTTCTTTTTTCTTTTCTTTTTTTTTTTTACAGAAGATCAGTTTAGTATGCATTAAGTAAAAATTTCAGCAGTTTGCACGCCCATAGAAACACAAGTGAATATATTGTTGAGTACTCATTATAGCATTAAATCTCAATGTACAGCACATTAAGGACAGAGATCCTACATGAGGAGTAAGTGCCACAGTGACTCCTGTTGTTGACTTTACAAACTGACACTCCTGTCTATGGCATCAGTAATCTCCCTATGCACCAGTCATGAGTTTCCAAGGCTATGGAAGCCCTCTGAGTTCTCCGACTCTGATCTTGTTTAGACAAGGTCATAGTCAAGTGGAGGTTCTCTCCTCCTTCAGAGAAAGGTACCTCCTTCTTTGATGACCTGTTCTTTCCACTGGGATCTCACTCACAGAGATCTTTTGCAGAGTGTCTGGCTTTCCATGCCTGAAATACTCTCATGGCTTTTCAGCCAGATCCGAAAGCCTTTAGGGCTGATTCTGAGGCCAGAGTGCTATTTAGGACATCTGCCATTCTATGAGTCTGCTGAGTATCTCCCTTCCCATGTTGGATCACTCTCCCCTTTATTTATTCTATCGGTTAGTATTAGCAGGTACTAGACTTGTTTATGTGCTCCCTTTGATCTTAGTCCTTTCATTATGATCAATTGTGAACTCAAATTGATCACTTTGGACCAGTGAGATGGCATTGGTACATGCCACCTTCATGGGATTGAATTGCAATCCCCTGGTATGTTTTCTAACTCTACCATTTGGGGCAAGTCAGCTTGAGCATGTCCCAAATATAAATCTCTTCCCTCTCGTATCCCACTCTCATGTTTAACAGGGATCACATTTCAGTTAATTTCAACACTTAAGAATAACTGTGTGATAATTACAGAATTAAACCAGTCATATTAAGTAGAACAGACCAAAAAATACTAAGAGGATAATGTATTAAGTTGTTCATTAACAGTCAGGGCTATGCTGAATCAAGTCACCGTTTCTCATAGTGTCCATTTCACTTCAGGAGGTTTCCTTTTTGGTGTTCAGTCAGTTGTCACCGATCAGGGAGAACATATGGTATTTGTCCCTTTGGGACTGGCTTACTTCACTCAGCATGATGTGTTCCAGATTCCTCCATTTTGTTGCAAATGACTGGATTTCGTTGTTTCTTACTGCAGTATAGTATTCTAAAGAGTACATATCCCATAATTTCTTTATCCAGTCTACCGCTGATGGGCATTTAGGTTGGTTCCAGGTCCTGGCTATTGTGAATTGTAGCACCATTCAATTTAAAATTAAAAACCAAAATACTTGTAGCGCAGACACTGTAAGCCTCTATTCTTACATTCAGGTATCTAAAACTGTTCCTCTCCTGCCCAGGTTTAGCTCAACCCCCTCAATGACTCTACTTCTAAATACGATTCTAAAAAAAGCCATGTTTATAGCTCTTCCTTTTCAATTAAAAATTGTGAATACCTTCTATCCTTTTTGTCTACTTGAGTGTAGGAGACTGCAAGCACTCAGATACAAGAATGAAATCTGTCTTTGATCTCCAGGGGTCTGCTCAGGCTCCTGAGACTCAGAACGTATGAAAGAGATTGTCTCTCTCTCCTTCTCCAAACTCTAAGAAAGTGTCATCAACTCTCCACCTGAAACTAGGTAATCTGTATACCTTTAACCCAGATCCTTGGGAGAGTCACAACAATTAGGAGAGACCTCTCCTTCACACAACTCAAATCTTGAGGCGTGTCTCGACCATGTCTCACACATGTCTCTGACTTTGGGGCTCAACTCAGAATTTTGCCTCTAGTCCAGTCCTCAGACAACTAAAAGGTTTCAGTTCTGATTAATTTAACTTTCTATAATAATTAACGAAGAAACCACGGAAATCAGTTTTTAACCATGAGAAAAGGCAGTACAAAAAATGATTCCTGTTAAAATAACAATGCAATTAGCTGCCTGATTATTCCAGCTTGTTGCCAAAGCACAGAAGTAGGAAGGATCACAGAAACCAGCAACACCCCCTCATTTGACAATGAGTTCAGAATTCAGAGACAAGAACATATGACTTCACAGGACACAGGTCTTGAGGACAGGGAAGCAAATTAAAGAACACCAGCCTTAGAAATATACTGCAGACCTGAGTATAAGCATAAAAATTAACAAACAAAAAAACTATCAAAGGCCAGGAAAACAACTATAAAACACTAAGATCTCTTTGTAACTGAAGAATGGTTCTAGGAACTCGATGGATACAAAACTCCCACAGATGTTCAAGTTCTTCATACAAAATGCTGATCATACTTGCACACAAACTCTAACTCACATTAGGACATTAGGACTGCAATATCTAATGCAACACAAGTAGATAGTTACATGTGTTCTGTATATGCTCAACTATACATGCAATTTTTATCATTCACATATTTTTGATCTCTAATCGTTCAATCATGGATGCAGAGGGAAGGACCTAAAACAGGGGGCAAGCATTTGAAATGGTGGTTGGCCGGGCACCGCGGCTACCTAGGCTAATCCTCTGGAGGCCTTGCGGCGCCGGCACACCGGGTTCTAGTCCCGGTCGGGGCGCCGGATTCTGTCCCGGTTGCCCCTCTTCCAGGCCAGCTCTCTGCTGTGGCCAGGGAGTGCAGTGGAGGATGGCCAAGTGCTCGGGCCCTGCACCCCTATGGGAGACCAGGAAAAGCACCTGGCTCCTGCCATCGGATCAGCACGGTGTGCCGGCCGCATGTGCGCAGTCCGCGGTGGCTATTGGAGGGTGAACCAATGGCAAAGGAAGACCTTTCCTCTCTCTCTCTCTCTCTCTTCACGGTCCCACTCCGCCTGTCAAAAAAATAAAAATAAAAATAAATAAAAATGAAATGGTGGTTAAGACTGTGCTTCATTAGCCAGCACCTCAAGTTGGCAATGCCTACTATGAATTCCAGCTATTACAGTTCTACTCCAGCTTCCTGTTATTGAGCACCGCAGGAGGCAGCAGAAGTGGCTCAAGTCACTCAGGTTCTTGATACATATGATGGAGTTCCAGACTGAGTTCTAGGATCCTAGCATTAGCTGGCCCAGGACAGCGGCTGGCAGCTGTTTATGGAAGTGAAACAGCAGATGAAGTTTGTGTCTGTGGAGGTGGAGGCAAGACGGTGGTATAGCAGTGGGATTTTCCAAGTTGCACAGGGAAAAATGGATAATTAACAAGAAGGAGGATACAAGCAAGCACAGCAATAATAAAAAGTTACGCAGAGTGGGCTCAGAGTTCACCAGAGTGTGCACAGGCCCACGTTGCAAGACAGACAGGTGCCCAAAGTGCGAAAGGGAACAGTGAGTAGCCAGCCCCACTCCCTCAGTGACTCAGGTGAGAGGTTGTGAGACCACAGAGATGCATACACAGATGAGTGTGGAAATTTGGTGAACAGTAATCGGTGCTCTAAGTGGGAAGAAGGAGAAATTCTGGGGGAAGGGCAGAAAGGGTGAACATGCCACGATTCCTCGGTGTCTTACCCCGCCCCCTAACTGGAACTGCAGCTGGCAGGGATAGGCCACATTGGTTGCTTACATTTTCCAGTGTAGGCAGCGGGCTGCACTTTTGCCTCCTGTGCCATGAACCCAAAAATTGTGGGGGCCACCTCATAACACACCCCACCAGAGAACAACAATCACAACAATTCAGAGTGACTTCTCTCCCATCACGCAAGTTACACAGCAAAAAATAAATCTGAAAACAAACACAAGCTCTTTTTAGTGAACAAAGGAGCAGGGAGACCAGCCCTAGTAGGTTGGGGCTTAGTACATCAAAGCCTGGCTACTCTCCTCTTTAAGCTGCCAGAAATAAACAGAGCTCCAGGAGGTGGAGCTGCTTGCTTACACTGGCAACCAGCACAGACACATAGCAGCTCACAGCAGAGGCAAAAACAATCTAAAAATTAAATCAATCAGAACACAAACAAATGCCAAAGAACAAAGGAAAAATTCTGAATAAGAGTAAGAAAGAACCAATGAACTTGCCAATGGAGCAATCTAAGTCTTCACAAATAGACAGAAGAAAAAGAAATTGAAGTCATGCTAGGAAAAGAGTTCAGAAAATTGATAAGATTACTTAAGAGCAATCAAAAACAAATTCAAGATCTGAATGAGAAGCACTCCCAAGGAACTGAGATTCTAAAGAGAAGCCAAAATGAAATACTGGAAATGAAAGCTTCAAATTGACCAAATAAAAAATGTCGTGGAATCTCTCAGAAATCAAACATATGAAATAGAAGAGTGAATATGAGAACTGGAAGACAAACTTCTGCAATTAATGCAGTAATACTAAATTAACACAGTAATACTAAACATAAGAAGAACCAATTAGAAAATTAAAAATCACAGTTTTAGATTTACAAGACTATATCAAGCAATGTAATGTACAGATAATGAGAGCCCTGGAATGTGTGGAAAGAGAGAATGGATTAAAGGCCTTCTTAATGAAATCCTATCTGGCTGGCACCATGGCTCACTTGACTAATCCTCCACCTGCAGTGCTGGCACCCTGGGTTCTAGTCCCAGTCGGGACGCCGGATTCTGTCCCGGTTCCTCCTCTTCCAGT